CCTGTATGGAAATGCCCTATATCCGTATCAATGCCCCCAGAAATGCCCTATATCCATGGGCCCTATATCCATATGGATTCCCTGTATGGAAATGCCCTATATCCATATCCGTGCCCCCAGAACAGGGCTGCACTGGGGCTGTCTCTTCTCTGGATTTTCAGGCTCAGCCCCTGTGGAGTTTCACCAGTTTAAGGTCCAGTCTGGAGGATGGAGTTCATCCTGTTTTTAGCCTCACAAAGCCTTGTCCAGCACACAAGACTTTTTTTTTATTTTTTTTTTATTAGCCTGATTTTTTGTGTTGTGGAGGGAACAGGATTCCTGGAGGCCTCAGGATGTCCTGATGAGGTATTAGAGGAAGCAATTCAGGAAGAAAAGGGACAAATAACCACCTCCGGAGCTGTAGAGCACGGAAACACTCAGTGCTGCCCTGGCTTTGGGGTTTTTTCTCCTTGCCAGGGGTAAATGAGGGAATCATCTTCTGTCTTGCCTCATTTTTATGGTTTTTGGGTCGTGTAATGAGTCAGCTCTAATGGAGAAGTCCCGTGGAATTAAACAAGAGATGAAATCAATATGGTTCCATAGAAATATAATTGGGTTTTGTAGAGATTGCTCTTAAAAACCTATAAGGTGTAAAAGAAAATACGGCCTGATTGTAGTTTCTGAGCCATCATGTAACTGGGGTGTAACTATCCATTAAATTCTGCAGGATGGATCAAAAAATCCATAAGGGGGTTTTAATTCTCCATTAAATCCTATGGAAGAGCTGGTATTAATTTTCCCTGAGACAATGCTTCTTCCCTCCATTAGGCTGCAAGAAGCTCAGGTGTAGTCACACGTGTTGTTATGGAAGTTTTCCAAAGTCCCAASGGCTAAATAACACTTTATTAAAATGCAATTGTTACACTTAACTAATGTTTCCCTTCTTTGTGTCTTTATTAAACAGGATTCGGCTTCGTAACCTTTGAGAACGAAGACGTGGTGGAAAAAGTCTGTGAAATTCATTTCCACGAAATCAATAATAAAATGGTGAGTGCTGGTGCTGGGGGAGCTCTGAGCTGTGTCACAGAGGTGGGGGGACACCCTTTTAGGGTGTGGGGCAGGGCACAGGCACCCCATGGGCACAGGCAGCTGCCCCACAGCAGTTTTGGGTGGGTGAAGCTCAAAGGAGTTGGGGAGGAGTGTGTGAGTTGATCCTTTCAGCTTCTGGAACATCCATGGAGAGCCCTTTCCATCCTGCCCTGCTCCCAACTGCAGCAGCAGCGTTTGGGGTCTGGGGAGGGCAGTGCCCTGGGGTGGCTCCTGTGCCCCAAGTGCCCCCAGAACACTGCCCTGGGGTGGCTCTTGTGCCCTGAATGCCCCAGAACGCTGTCCTGGGGTGGCTCATGTGCCCTGAGTGTCCCCAGAACTCTGCCCTAGCCCTGCTCTGGGGTGGCTCCTGTGCCCTGAATGCCCCAGAACGCTGTCCTGGGGTGGCTCAAGTGCCCCAAGTGCCCCCAGAACACTGCCCCATCCCTGCCCTGGGGTGGCTCAAGCGCCCCAAGTGTCCCCAGAACCCTGCCCTGGGGTGGCTCCTGTGCCCTGAGTGCCCCCAGAACAGTATCCTGGGGTGGCTCATGTACCCCGAGTGCCCTCAGAACACTTCCCTGGGGTGGCTCTTGTGCCCTGAGTGTCCCCAGAACTCTGCCCTGGGGTGGCTCATGTGCCCTGACTGACCCCGGAAAGCTGCTCTGGCAGTGCTCTGGGGTGGCTCCTGTGCTCTGAATGCCCCAGAACGCTGCCCTATCCCTGCCCTGGGGTGGCGCCTGTGCCCCGAATGCCCCCAAAACACTGCCCTGGGGTGGTTTGTGTGCCCTGAGTGCCCCCAAAACGCTGCCCTATCCCTGCCCTAGGGTGGTCTGTGTGCCCCGAGTGTCCCCAGAACACTGCCCTGGAGTGGTTTGTGTGCCCTGAGTATCCCCAGAACGCTGCTCTGGGGTGGCTCCTGTGCCCCGAGTGCCCCCAAAACGCTGCCCTGTCCCTGCCCTGGGGTGGCTCCTGTGCCCTGAGTGCCTTCAGAACGCTGCCCTAGAGTGGCTCCTGTGTCCTGAATGCCCCCAGAATGCTGTCCTGGGGTGGCTCATGTACCCTGAGTACCCCCAGAACTCTGCCCTAGGGTGGCCTGTGTGCCCCAAGTGCCCCCAGAACGCTGCTCTGTGGTGGCTCCTGTGCCCTGAGTGCCCCCAGAACACTGCCCTGTCCCTGCCCCGGGGTGGCTCCTGTGCCATCCCTGCTGGCCCCTGTCCCCAGAGCTGTGGCTCTCTGCCAGGGATCCACCATCCCTTCCCAGCCAGGCCTGGCTGCAGTTCCTCCTCAGTTCCTCCTCAATGACAGGCAGGTCCCAGGTTGTGGGCTGCCCTGAGCCAGATGWAAAGGGGCATTTGTATTTCAATTGCTGCGGTAACTTTGATATTTTCAGCTAAAATATTCTTTTTCCCTTTGTCAAAACATTCTTTGCTTCTCAAATGTGTATTCAGATATGCATTGTATATTGGTCTGATATGTGTTCACAGACTTTAAATTCAATAATAGAGCTTTTAGTGTGGATAAGATCAAAGCAATCTCCTTGGCATATGCTGGAGGCCTGATTCAATATTTGACTTGCTAATTTTTCCCAGGGCACCGAAATAATATTCCTCATATTGTTCCTTCCTGCAATATGCATCTGAAATAAAAGTGAGGGTCCCCTTGGCCAGAAGTGGGGTGGGGTGATGGTGCACGGCTGGGGCAGTGCTCCTGGTTTTGTGGGCAGTCTCTGTCTCCATTTCACATGAGCAAAATTCACATTTCACATCTCACAGAGCAAAATCTGTGCTGTTGCCCCCAGCCCCTCCTGCGCTGGGGTCTCCTCCCTGAGTGGGAAGGGAGGAGGCTCATTCTCTGTGTATCCTTACTAAATGCTCTTAATCTKCCTAAAAAGAGCAGAACAAACCCCAGCCACCCCCGCAGGACAGACCTAGTGACAAATCAGGAATGCTGGGGATGTAAATGCAGGGATTGGCAGGTGGGAGGGAAGAGCTCCCCGCCAGGATTCTCCCATCCACAGATTTAGGRTTTAGTTATCCCCACAGCAGGGCTCAGGATTGCCCTGGCTCAGGATTGCCCTGGATGGGGCTGGTGTGCCCCAGGCTGGGATATGTTGGGTGTTTCATCCCTGGATTTGCACCCACAGGCTGGAAAAGCCTCACCTGGGATGGGAGGAATGGGGGAGAGCTGCTGGGATGATCCTTCCCAGTGAAAGGATCCARCAGGGAGCGTGGAGGATGGGACAGGGTGAAAACACTCCAGCAGCATCACARAGAGAAAGAGAAACGGTTTTGGGTGTTGGTGTTTGTTGTTGGATAATTACAATCATCCCCTCCCACTTGTGTGCCTGCTCGGTGCCCCTCCAGGTGCCACCACCTCGGGAGTGTTCCCTTTGTCACTCCATCAGCACTGATTGTGAAACAGCCCACGAGAGAGAGGGGGTGACACAGGATCCTGTCCTGGCACTGACTCATCACTCGCTGATGTGTCTGCACATCCTTCCAGTGCTGCGGGGGCCCTGTGTGCTGATGGGCACCTGGGGTGGCACAGGCT